ATGTCATAATTATTACAAAAAAATTATCGTTATAAATATACTTTACAAAAAAATTGTTATAAATAAACTTTACAAAGAATCATTATAAATAAACTTTACAAAAAAAATCGTTATAAATAAACTTTACAAAAAACCTTATAAATAAACTTTAAAAAATCGTTCTAAATAAATTACAACAAAAGATATTTAGAATAAATTTTACAAAAAAAAAACGTTACAAATAAACTTAAAAAAAAAATCGTTATAAATAAACTTTACAAAGAAATCGTTATAAATAAACTTTACCAAAAAAATTATTATAAATAAATTATAACAAAAGTCCAGCCAAAAGATATTTGAAAAAATATTGTTAAAACAATCTTATTCAGATCAATTGTGCTCTTGTAAATATTCCATTGAAAAATATAAGACAATTTTATATAGTCTCTACAAAAGTAATCAAGTAAAAAAGATATCAAGAGGTTACATTCGCCAAGTGCAAATGTAAACTGTTGATATCATTACTTTTATAGATAGTATATAAAATTGTCTTGTATTTTTCAATAGAGTATTCACGAGAGTACAATTGATAAGTATTTTTCAATAGAGTATTCACGAGAGTACAATTGAGTACTGGATAAGACTGTTTTAACAATATTTTTTCAAATATCTTTTGGCTGAGCTTTTGTTGTAATTTATTTATAACAATTTTTTTGGTAAAGTTTATTTATAACGATTTTTTTTGTAAAGTTTATTCGTTACGATTTTTTTTGTAAAATTTATTTTAAATATCTTTTGTTGTAATTTATTTAGAACGATTTTTTGGTAAAGTTTATTTATAACAATTTTTTGTAAAGTTTATTTATAACAATTTTTTTTGTAAAGTTTATTTATAACGATTTTTTTTGTAACAATTATGACACAGAAAACAAAAAATTTTATAATGTAATCACGATAATTTTATAATGTAATTTGTAAAAAAACAATGTTCTTGCGGTATTTTGAGGTTTGGTTGACACTATTACGATTGGTACTAATCTAGTAACATTCACTGATGCTGATATTATAATTCTGGTAAATATTATGACCGTTACTTTTAATCATACTAAAAACTATAGAAAACCTGCAAAACACGAAATTTTGTGAAAAAACAGCGCCATCTTTCATGAAAAACATAAAAATTTAAATTCCGTGAAGAAGTATCTTAAAGTACAGACCTGTATGCCACCAAATATACACGATTAGCCAGGTTCACAAATGCATTCTTTGTCGAAATGGCGTTTAAAGTAAAAAGGATCGATGATTTTTTCGATTTCTCCAACTTTAAGCCGCCATATTGGATTTCATATTGATGATAGCAAAAAAAGAAGGTCAGATTCTGTTATAAATAAATGTTCTGTTATAAATTGTTATAAATAAATTACAACAAAAGCTCAGCCAAAAGATATTTGAAAAAATATTGTTAAAACAGTCTTATCCAGTACTCAATTGTACTCTCGTGAATACTCTATTGAAAAATACTTATCAATTGTACTCAGATTCTTAAAGAGCACACTCAGAACTTATAATATACCAACTTTACTAAACTCGCACATAATTTAATATAAAATTTACAGCGATGAACAACAGATAAAATTTATGTCATTTCAGGACGAAATGGATTAATATTAGATGGTAAACTTAATTCCTGCGGCTCACAGTTAGATGACGTTAGTTGTAGGTGTAATTTATTTTGACATCTGAAACTGGCTGCATTTTAGAGGTTAGACATTTGTCAATAAAATTCAGTGCGAAGAGATTCATTTAAGCGAGCAGTGCTATTTTTTTCTTTTGATTAAATATGGATAAGTTGTTTTTTCGACATGTGCTGCTTCATTACTTTGACTTGAAAAAAACTGCAGCTGCAGCGCATAAATTGCTTTTCGAAGCTTATGGCAATTATGCTCCATCGGAAAGAATATGCCAAGTATGGTTTCAGCGATTTAAGAGTGGTGATTTT